ATGATTAACGTGAGATCTGAGATCCCGTCTCAGATCCGGTCCTGCGTAGATGTCAGATCTGTTGTTGCTCAGATCTGAAAAACTTTATTTCAAATGAGTTATAAAGTCTGCAGTTTCTGTTTTGTGTTTTCTGTAGTCTCGTCGGGTTGGTCTGTTGAGAACTAATTTGATTGATTGATTGAGCCTTTCTGATTGTCTATGACAGTCAGGGCTCAGAAGCTGCCAAGTTCTATGCACTGCATGCCAGTCTGTCCCTCAAACAAGGTAAGTCTCGTTCGGAGTCGTTCCCCATACTTCTCCTTTCCGAGGTGTGTCGTCGGACACTCAACTGTTGTTGATTGTGTGGTTCTCATGTACAATGTTTGTGTCCGTTGTGGCAGGTCGTGGAATGTGAGGTACCATTGTTGTTTTAGCAGAGATAAGATCAGATAACACGCCATGATGTGCTGAAAAAAAAAAAAAAAAAAAAAAAATAGTCCGGACATTTTTTGCGGACCGGGGCACCGGTCCGGACGGTCCGGGTCCGGTACTGTCCGGCTGTTCGGTACCTGTCCGGATTACCGGACGTCTGGACCGGTCCGGACAAATGTCCGGGCGTCAGTCAAGACAGGTCCGGGTCCGGGTCCGCGGTTGCCATGGTACAAACCGATTTAAATAAAATAAATAATCGGTGGCTATGTCAGAGAATACTCATTTGGGTTCAACAGGTAAGTTTAGATTCCTACAAACAAAACTATTTCTACTTTGACTAGTTCACAAACAGGAAGCACAATGAACAGAGAACAGTTCTTACTATGTTGTTTGTCAGATGTTAATGGCTGTTCATCTAACCAATCAAAAAAAAATAAAAAAAATCATTTGATTGGCTGTTTGCAGAGTGAAATCTTTCCCAAACTTATCATTTGGAATATACCCCTCCCTCAGTTCTTCCTGAATGTCTCTTGTCATCACCGTCCCTGAGCAATCCGGAACAGCGTGCGTGTCTAAAGGTGTGCACACAGCCCACCCCTGTGCCCCGAGTCCTGCTGAGCTGGCCAGCCCTGCACAATATTTATCCTCGCGTGCAGCGAGCCTTACACTGACCGATTGGTTGATAAGGAGGCGTTTTTATGGACGGCCCCTGAAGTCCTCAGGAATTATTTAACGTCGCAGGGAGGACGACGATCACAGCCAATGGAAGGTCCCCGCTGGTACTTATTTATAGACGTCCGGTACTTGTCTTTCCCGTAGGGCTGGCCTGCCCCTCAGAACCCATCTATAGCGCAATGAGCAGACAAAGGACAAAGCAGCAAAGCATGCGTGCTCTACTCCCGGTGGGTTGGCATGGTGATCGTGACCCAGTGCTTCCTCCAGGGCCCTTCAGATAGCTCCGCCCTCTCCTTCCAGATGCTCCACGTGAATATTGACGACTCTCAAGGTTGAGCGCACTCGACTCCTCACATGAGAGGACTCTCAAGACAGAACACACATCCTCACGGTAAGAAGTGTCGAAGAGGGTAGATAAGGTTAGGTGCAACGTACCTCAAAATAGCTGCCCCCAACCACAGATATTCTCACCACATGATGCCGATTGTGATGACCAATCGCTGCTTCGGCACAACCAGCATTATACCGCCGTTCCACCTAGCATCAATCGCACATCAGATAGTTCTCATCACACGGCGAACACCCAATTCTCACCACGTAGCCTTCCTGGAGATACCCCTCACCTCCTGGGTCACCTTACTTGCCTTCGCCCTCCTCACTACACACCTCCCACGGCCGCTCGCTCAGCAGACCGCGTGCATGTACCGCTTAGGCAAAAGACAAGCGCCAGATGAGCGCACCGTACCACAACTCCGATACCAAATTGCAAGGAAAACAAGTGATAGCGAACTTCAGAAACCAAGCAGCATCATACACATGAGACCAGATAGTAGTGACCTCGAACCAAAACAGAATTGCAACCCGCGTCCCACCAAATAAGAGCACAGCAGAAGCTCATAAGTGACAACGTTCGAATAGTCTCATCATCATCAACAAAGAACCAATGTCGACATCCTATCTGGCGCTCTGCGCCCAGACTACAAATGGCAGATCCTATCTAGCCTATCTACAATGTCGCTGGTGACGTCAACAGCTCCCTGAAGTACGAGCAGAGCAGATCTCGGTCAATGCCGTTCGCCTCAAGCACCAGGTATGTCTCTCGTATCCCCCACAATCGCGATCCCCCACTCACAGATTCCATGTGCAGCCAAGGACCACCATGCGCCCCATCCAGCATACAGCAGCGCAGCTCGGCTATGGATGCCTGCTCCTTCCAGCTCGCCCGTGAGAGCGTGAGCGCTGGCCAGCGTATAACGCAGCAGCGCTTGCGCAGCATGCAGCCAGTGCCCGAATGCCGAATGCGTGGGCAGGCCCTTTCCCAAATGGAAGTGGCCTGCTTGCTTGCGTGCAGCCTGGCTGCACTGGGCCCCTGCCCAGAAGCTTCCGGTAGGCCCAGAGAGGCTGAGCCCTAGTCCAAACGAATCAGGCCCTGGGCCTGTGGTGGTTGCCCGTGTCCAACTGCCCGCGGCTTGTATTCGGTCCATGTTGCGACTCTGGCCCAGGGCCTGCCTCGGTTACTTTCGAAAGAGGCAGCCTGGGCCTGGGCTCTATTTCAACCAACTGGCGCTGCGCAACTGCCTGAATTTACCCAGTTGCGTGATGACCCCAAAAATAGGCCTGTAGGCCCTGGGTCGAGCCTGCCTTCACTTACGGCGGCCGATCGTACAGAAAATAGGGCCCAGTAGGGCGAGGCCTTGAGCCTTGCACATATGTTTTGGTAATATAAATACATGTATGCATATAAATGTATATATATCATATATCGTCAAACAGTATATGTATAATATTGTATATATATCATATATGTATGTACTATATACTATATACTGTATATATCGTCAAATAGAACTGCCCGGTAAACCGTAGGCAGAGAGGGATATATATATATATATATTATATATGATATAGTATACAGTCTAACTTAGTTTTTGTAACCATAAGTATTGAATTTTCCTGTCACTCACTCGTACCTTCTGCCGTGCTTGTGCATCTTCTCTCAATGACAATATCTCTTGTCTTAATTGATCAGCCTCTTTTCCTAATTTGGATGTCTCCTCCCTTAATTGATTTTGAAGGGCCTCATTCTGCACCAACGCCTCGCCACATTTGTCGGAGGCCCTGGCTATTGCGTCAAGGACCTCCCTTTGTGTTGCTGCCTTCAGTTCTTCCATCTAGTAAATTCCATCCACCCAGGCAGCCACACAAAACAAAATGAAAGGATGTTGGAGCGTATCTATGCTGCCCGGATTTTTTTTGCTCTTTACTCCTTTTCTAGACGCCCACAAACATTCATTCGTCAAGCCTCTTTTTTTTTTTTTTTTTTTTTTTTTTTTGGTCGATAACACAACGTTCAATTTTTTGAGCGATGAAATACAGATGATGAGTTCCATTATTTTTCTCTATTGATACTGGAGGGGAGCGGGAAGGGGGAGGTTTATACCTGCCTCGTGGGTGAATGGTACACAGTACTACACACTTTTTTTTTTACTTTTTTTTTTTTGAAGGCTAATGCCATAAGCCCAACCAATTCAATGACCTGTCGAATCTGGACAGGGCGGGCTTATAGGCCTTTTTTGTTGTCATTATTAGAGTATTACAGGGAACCCCGTAGCAACCATTATTTTTCTCTATTGATACTAGAGGGGGGGGGGAAGACGGAGGCATATACCTGCCTCGTGGGTGAATGGTACACAGTACTAAACACTTCTTTTTCTTTTCTTTTTTTCTTTTTTTCTTTTTTGAAGGCTAATGCCATAAGATGTGATGGAAAATAAGGTACACACAGAAAGTACACGAGTCACACGTAGACGAAGCCACACGTAGCACACGGACGTAGTCAAACGTAGACAAGTGGCAAAGTCAAAGCACTTAGAAAAACATGAAGTACATCAGAAAAGACTCCCCGACACACGTATCGACTGCCACCGCCCAGTCATCCTCAGGGGGTTCCACGTTCCTCGCCCCGATACACCATTTCACCGCTAACCCTCCTCCGCGCTACTAATCACCTGCATTCCCGGTAATGTCATAAGCCCAACCAATTGAATGACCTGTCGAATCTGGACAGGACGGCCTTTCAGGCCGTTTGTATTGTCCTTATAGTATTACAAGGAACCCCGTAGCAGCCACATCCGTGTTCAAACCTCCAACGAGGGAACATGAGGGAGCTGCACCCACCACCAGCAGGTGTGATACCTGCTATAGCAGGTGAGATACCTGCTACAGCAAGGGAGGAGATTGTAACCTGTACAACATAAGTGACTGAGAGACAGACTGCTGTCTTTAAAGATCCAGGTCATGTGTAGTATATCACTAATCATGCTATATCAGCTTTCTGGTTATTCTGCAATCCTAGGCGACATCTGGTTTTCCTTCTTATATAGTACTCAGAAGTTTAGAGATGGTAGAACCCTGGCTGACCCCTGCGTAGTTGTTGTGTTTTGGGCTCCGGGTCTGCCGTTGCCAGAACGACGCTGGCCGGTGCTGGGCCGTAGCCCTGTGACCTGTTAGTAGCAAGAGCGTGAGGCCTGGTAGAGAGAGATCTTGGGATTAGTTGAGGGAGGGAGGAAGGCAGTCCAGTGGCGAACTGGGGGGGGCTGCCATGACAACCTAAGGGGCCGAGTATAGTCTTGGTGGTGAGAACATGACAGCCATGGCTGAGCTATGGCTGGTATTGCTTAGGAAGATATTGTCTCTGGGGTGCTGTATCTGGTATAGGGGGAGGGGAGGCTACGAGTTGCTCATGGATTGTGAGGCCAGGTTTTGCTGATGTAGTATAGCTTTCTATAGTTTTTTTCACAGATTAGCATCATCATCATCATCATCATCATCATCTTATCCTT